GGGGGGGGGGGTTGAACTCTGTATACTCCCTAGGGCTAGAAATACCCGCCCTAGGCTCTCCATGGACATGCCCCCAGGCCCTTTAGGTCTAATATATACAACCCACATGTAAATTCTTTTCTTGAAAATTTTTTATGAAAATTTTATGATGCTTTAAGAGTTCACTTTTTAGTTACCATTTCAAGTTCTGCAATTTTTTTATCAGAAATAATAAAATAATATTTAAAAATAAAATGAATTTAGAAAAAGGGCGATAATGATTCAATATAGCATTTTTTGTGTGCATTTTTGTTTCTCTTTCCTGGGGGGGGGGCTCAGCACCCGTTGGGGCCTGAAACCCCCTGAAATCAATAGATTTCACTGGTCCAGGGGGGCTTAGCCCCCATAGCCCCCCCCCTGAATACGCCTCTGAATATAGAATACAATTTTAAACTTCCAGTAGAGATTAGTCGTTAGTATAGATTCATTGTAAATTGTAAAAATATTGTAACATTATTTTTTACATTTATATTTTTTTTAAACAAATTGTTCGTGTAATTTTTGCTATATTCTGTATACAGTATGCAGAATACACCATAGAAAACTTTAATTTTCAATTTAACATTTTTTCTATAAAAAAAACATATCACCACCCCATCATGTAGAAGAGGCCTTTCAAGGCACCATAAAGGCCGCGCGCTCCGCCTATAGCAGGTTAGGTGGTCCAGGAAAGTTTTCACATTAAAAAGGTCATATAGCTAAACTACGTATGGCAAAATGACTTATGGTAAAAATTACACTTTTAAAATTGTCGTAGCGCCCAACTTGATAAAATTACTTAAATCAAACTTTTGAACTATTTTCTCTTTAGGCAGCATTCGGTCTGTGGTTAATATTTGGCTACTATATCTACCTAGAAGTGTAAGTATCGGTCTGTGGTTAATATTTGGCTACTATATCTACCTAGAAGTGTAAGTATCAGTCCTGTGGTTAATATTTGGCTACTATATCTACCTAGAAGTGTAAGTATCGGTCTGTGGTTAATTTTGGCTTCTATATCTACCTAGAAGTGTAAGTATCAGGCCTGTGGTTAATATTTGGCTACTATTTCTACCTGGAAGTGTAAGTATCAGTCCTGTGGTTAATATTTGGCTACTATATCTACCTAGAAGTGTAAGTATCAGTCCTGTGTTTAATATTTGGCTACTATATCTACCTAGAAGTGTAAGTATCAGTCCTGTGGTTAATATTTGGCTACTTAACTACCTAGAAGTGTAAGTATCGGTCTGTGGTTAATATTTGGCTACTATATCTACCTAGAAGTGTAAGTATCGGTTTGTGGTTAATATTTGGCTACTATATCTGCAAAGAAGTGTAAGTATCGGTCTGTGGATAATATTTGGCTACTATATCTGCAAAGAAGTGTAAGTATCGGTCTGTGGTTAATATTTGGCTACTCTATCTACCTAGAAGTGTAAGTATCAGTCCTGTGGTTAATATTTGGCTACTTTATCTGCTAAGAAGTGTAAGTATCGGTCTGTGGTTACTATTTGGCTACTATATCTACCTAGAAGTGTAAGTATTGGTCTGTGGTTAATATTTGGCTACTATATTCACCTAGAAGTGTAAGTATCAGTCCGTGGTTAAAGGGACCGTTCACTTATTTGGGTAATTTCAGGGTAAACTGAACTGCCTATTCGCTCTTGATTGGTAATAGTCTTACTTTTCAAAGACAACTGTGGCCGGAGAAAAAGCCGATTTTTCGTTCAGAATTTGAGCGGAAAGGGATGGTCCCTCTCTATAGACACTATTTGATGTTTTTTTTCAGTAACAACAGCCCAATAACATTTAAATTTATTATATTTTAATGTCATTATGTGTTCGTTATTATGTACTAAAATATGAAAACTTTTGATATTTGAGTTAGCAAGAAATTTACGTTTTTCGTATTAAAACATGTAAAGTATGTATACAAAGACGACGTCTCTACGACAATCAATTAATCATTACTCGTATTTTGGTTCGTAGATTTTGTAGATTTTGTTCGCGTATGTGCACAAATTTTCATTTGTCATGCCGCGTTCTATTCAGCTTTTTACACAGGCAATACACAATTTTGAATGCGATAAAATAGTTTTATTTAAAGAAATAGAAAGTTAAAAAACAACAAAAATTAAAAAATAATGACATTTACAATTAACGATCAGATACTACAGTTTAATTTTATATTCGAAATTTATTTTGATTCACAACATACTGAAAAAACATCAATTGTGTCTATAGAGAGGGACCGTCCCTTTGCGCTCGAATTCTGAACGAAAAATCGGCTTTTTCTCCGGCCATAGTTGTCTTTGAAAAGTAAGGCTATTACCAATCAAGAGCGAATAGGCTGTTTAGTTTACCCTGAAATTACCCAAATAAGTGAACGGTCCCTTAATATTTGGCTACTATATCTGCAAAGAAGCGTAAGTATTGGTCTGTGGTTAATATTTGGCTACTATAACTACCTAGAAGTGTAAGTATCGGTCTGTGGTTACTATTTGGCTATCTACCTAGTAAGAAGTGTAAGTAAAAAAAGAAATCTACACTACAGTTTCCATAAAAAAGGAGTATTTGGATTTTAAGTCTCTAAAATCCTCCAAAAACACTAAAAAATGTGCTGGTGTACATAGTTTGATTATTAAGTAAATTTTCATCGTCCGAAACTTGTATTTCCTGCAATTGAAAAATCACCCCCCATGGCCAGGGGGGCCTAGGTTAAGCTTTAAAGATTTTTTGCTTTAGAAGACTTTAAAAAATCTGAAAAGTTTTAGATATTTCAATATTGTTGAAATATTGTTTTTATTCCACAATGTTTGATTTGATTTTACCGAATTGTTTTCGGGTTTGCTTTATTTAGATTTATAACTTCTTGTCTTCTGAATGTCTTTATCTATGAACATATTTAATATTTAGGACCCAATTTGTTACCCCTACATTTGATCCAATACGTGGACCACAGGGAATAAGAATAAAGGGAAGGGAAGTGACGCTGGTCTGGCATGAGAAAGCCAGTCGCACTGCTTTGCAGACGAGTTCGTTATTACACACGCACACTCTTTTGGTACAGACACACAAAACATGGCTATAGTCAAGGAAATTGCAGAACAATGACGTTTATTATAATTAAGCTTGAATAACGAGTAGTATATTGTAAACTTTAATCAAATTATATTCTTTGCATAAAATTTGGCTTTATAGTGTTGACTTAAATATAAACTTATTTTTAAGTAAACAATTAACAATAAACAAATGTACTCTCCTAGACTATACAAATACCGAGATTCTTATGTACTGTATATACCTACATGTACATGCCCTCGGTTCGTTATTACTTACACACACTCTTTTGGTACATGACGTTTCCGCCCCCTGGTGGACCACTATCCACTAAAACTTGCTATTTCTACGATCAGTGTACTGTAAATCAGTGCAGTACACGACGAAAGTCTAGTTGAGGATAGGACCCTAATTTGTCCCATGGTAATAAGTTCTCTTATTACTCTATTTTGATGTTCGTTAATTCTAATTCAGTTTTCACTTTTATTGCTGTCTTGATAAAAGACACATGACACAGGACACTAAAAACGCGTCTAATTGAAACTTACAAAATGATGGCTTTTTGTGGCTAAATATTATAGCTTCTCACTATGTGACATGAAATGATATCCGATGCGTTAAATTGAAGTGGAAAGAGATTGAAGTAATAAATGTTAGGGCAAACGGCTTTAATTCAGGGGCGGGGATTATAGAGAATTATGATATTGTTTTTCAGGAGTCACAAACATTAAGAAGTATAGTCTTAATTACAGGTTTTATTATTAAAAAAAAAAGATATTTGTGTTTTTACATGGGCCGGCATAAATTCTCCTATTTTAACAGATGTATCCCTTTGGATATTTTGAAGAACACCATGTAACTATGTGTATTTTTTAGTGAATTGAATAATACACGTTGGGTATCCGATCAAACATGGGTGGATCTTAATCTTTCATAAAAAAGGGGTTTTGTGAAATTTAAGAGAAAAGGGCCGGGGTCTCTGATAAAAAACTTCAGATGGGCCTCCAATCAAATATGGTAACATCTGATGTTATGATAATAAGTAATGCATATCAATTCAATCTGATGACTATAATTTAGCAGATAGAAAATAGAAATATAGAAATATTAAAGGTCAACGATTTTCTGCTGCAAAGACATTAAGTTTTGGAAAATTAGAGTTTGAGGAGGGTAATCAGTTTTAGTTTTGTTTTTAGAATTTTAAAAGAGTTTTTAGAATTTTAGAAACCAAATCTTATATAATGTCTGGAATAAGCACATTGTTTATTATTAAAAATAACAAAAAGAATTCTATGACATTGCTTTTTTGATATTTTCTTGATATAAGAAGATCAGGAAGATTAAAGACTGAAGATTAAGTCCCCGATTAACCTAAATAATTAAATAAAATCTACTAATCCAATCCAGAAAAAAAAACAATCTTAGAATGAAAAATAAAACAATGTTATCTGTTAATTAATCAAACTAATTCAACCTTTGGCAAAAAACAAAAATCAAAATACAAATAAAAGGAACAAATTTAATAATTTAAATCAGAGAATTCAGAATCCTTAAAAACCAAAAAAAACATTGGAATTTTTTCCTGACTGTGTTTCTGTTTATCAGTGTGTTCGCTGCGCTGGTTAACTGGTCTTGGATGAGTTACAACGTGTACTGTTACTATACAGTACAGTACAGTACAGTACAGTACAGTACAGTACAACTCAGTCCAGTACAGATTAAATATTTGAATTTATAACTATTTTAACTAGACATTCAAAATGTACCGTTAAACGTCTCATAAAAATTTGACTCAATATTTTTGGTTTCTAATATTGTTTACAGTGAATTTAGTAAAATCTTTAAAATCCAAACATTAATCCATTCAATTCAATCCATTTAAATTTTGAGACAATTACAAGCAAAAATTCCTTTCGATATTGTGCTAATGGTATAAACTTGAAATGTAATTTGAGGGTTATTTAATATGTACAAAGTATATATATAATATATTACTGCAGATTTTATAAACCCCGTTCGGGGATTTCTTCCTCTACAATTTAAGTATTCTGTATTTGTAGAGTATAAAGTGTAAAGTGTACAGTGTACATCATACACTGTATTCTGTACACTGTACAGTATCCCAGTCTATGTTAAATAATGGTAATTGTTATGAACTTTAACATAAGGAAAAATATAGTGTACCATTGGAACACTTTACAAGTACAAAATAATTATGTTCTTAGCTGATAAAGATTTTTAAAACTTTTTCATAGATTAAAAATGTTTGTTCAGTTTTTAATCATTTACATTACAACCCTAAAATGTTGTATTTTAATAAAGAATCTTGTCACACAATGTCTATTTAGTTTTGTATACATCACAAGATCTTATAAGACAGTTGTCGTTGTATATATCAATACAATGAAGACGACTAGCTTCTCTTTGTTTACTTGAAAACTTGTAATTTGAGAAAAGCTTGTTAGAAATCAAAACTTAAATAAGTCTTCATTGTATTGATATAAATGCCGAAAAGTGTTGGAAGAGGCAAAAAGAAGATTGAAATTAATGTTAATATGGAGGTTTACAGAAAAATCTCACCCTCCGTATCAAAAAGGTTTGTTTTAATGGATTAAAACTAAAAAATTGAGTTTATCTATCTATGACAAACAAAATCATTTATGGTGTACATAACATGTAACAGGGTGTCCCAGAATAAACCTTGTAATAGTTGTATTGGCAATGGCTCTTCCATCTAATTTAGTTGCATTGGCTAGTCAATTTTTGCTGTTCAGAAGAATCAGTTTTTGTTGAATACGATTTATGCAAAGATTAATTAACCATAACAGATTGAGCACTCAGAGAAATACCGTAGTATCATAAATCCATAGATTAATTAACAATAACAGATTGAACAATAGATGTCGTCTTTTCAAGAATGAGGTGTTTTTCGTTCACAATAACCCTGAGGCAGAATACAGCGTTGAATTAAAAGAAAAACAGAGAGCATACGTGTAACTCCTTTGGGCTTCCGCCTCAGGGTTATTGTGAACGAAAAACCCCTAAACCTTGAAAAGACGACATCTTGTGTTCTATCTGTTATTGTTAATTATTCAATGTATTTATGAAACTTCTGTATTTCTGAGTGCATAAGCGCTAAAAACTCAAAATTTCTCGAAGTACCAGCATGGCCTTTATGCATAGAGCAAGCTGTGTACTGTACAGTAAACACAATTATACATATAGTCTATAGACGGTAAAATGGGGCAGTACACCAAATGAATCATCGCCTTCTAAGGAGGTTAATGTAATAAGGGACACTCTGTATCTCAATCATAAGTTCCAGATCTATAATGATCTTATTCTCCTGAGTATTTATATTAAACCAAGTAATCTAGGTAAGGCTGCCAGGTGCAGGAGTATTATAGGGTTGTCAGCCAAGCTCAGAATAAAATATACATATCGTCAATATATTACACTAGACACTAAACAATACACACTAGACATTAGACACTAAACTCTAAACACAAGAATTTAGACACTAGACATTAGATACTAGACACTTGGTTTTTAACTAGATTTTAGACACTATGTATACACTAGACACTACACAATAAACAATACACACTATAGACTCTATAATAATACACAAAAGACAAAAGATTCTACAAATTATTAAACACTAGATAATACACACTAGATACAATATAAAACATAAAAGACAAAAAATACTAAAAACTACTAGACTTTCTTGTCTCCATTCTTAACTTCCTGTTCACTTCCCTTCCTCATCTCTGTATTTAACTTCCTGTTCACTTCCCTTCCTCATCTCTGTTCTTAACTTCCTGTTCACTTCCCTTTCTCGTCTCCATTCTTAACTTCCCGTTCACTTCCCTTCCTTGTCTCCATTCTTAACTTCCTGTTCACTTCCCTTCCTTGTCTCCATTCTTAACTTTCTATTCCCTTCCTTTTCTCCATTCTTAACTTCCTTTTCACTTCCCTTCCTCTTCTCCATTCAAAGCTTCTTGTCCACTTCCCTTCCTCATCTCCATTCTTAACGTCCTGTTCACTTCCCTTCCTCTTCTCTATCCTTAACTTCCTGTTCACTTCCCTTTCTCGTCTCCATTTTTAACTGCCTGTTCACTTCCCTTCCTCTTCTTCATTCTTAACTTCCTTTTCACTTCCCTTCCTTTTCTCCATTCAAAACTTCCTGTTCCTACCCTCCCTCTTCTCCATTCAAAACTTCTTGTTCACTTCCCTTCCTCGTCTCCATTCTTAACTTCCTGTTCACTTCCCTTCCTCGTCTCCATTTTTAACTTCCTTTTCACTTCCCTTCCTCGTCTCCATTCTTAACTTCTTGTTCACTTCCCTTCCTCGTCTCCATTCTTAACTTCCTATTCCCTTACCTTCCTTTTCTCCATTCTTAACTTCCTGTTCACTTCCCATCCTCTTCTCCATTCTTAACTTCCTCTTCCCTTACCTTCCTTTTCACTTCTCTCTTCTTTCAACCTTAGAATCCCCCATCTCTCTCCCTCTCTCTTTCTCTCTCTTAACAAACTAAGAGAGTAATGAAACTTGAAAAAATAACGGAGTGAGTTCTCCGGAAGTAGCGGAGAGCTGTAGACATCAAGACTTATCAACAGATCGGAGATGTATTACCAAACTTAGTCACAAACTCAAATTTTCGAATCTCTATATCTTCGCAACCTGATGGCGTAAACCTTTGACATTTCAAACTTAAATTATTCGATCAAACAGAATTCATAGTTGAAATATCTAAGGTCTACGACATTGGGGTTCAAAGATATAGGGATTAGAAAATCAGAGTTTGTGGCAAAGACTCGTTTGCTTTGAAATCAAATATCAAGACCGTCAATCGTAAAAATGAGCGGCCCCCGGGACATATTATTTTCTTTCAATAACGCCAAAAGAAATACAATTTTATTTCTTTGAATAATCTGGGGAGTGGTGAATTGTTAACAGTCTTGGATTTATTTTAACTGTATATATGAATTGGATTATCAACAGCGTAAAGAGTGCTTTATAATACTTTGGAAAGTATATTTTTTATAATTTATATTTTTTCTACAGTTTAAATAGTGGATTCTTTTACTCTTTATGTAGATTAATTTTAACAGTTTAAATGTTCGATTTGTAACAGTTTAGAAAGTAGATCTTTTTCTTTGTATGCAGAATGGATTTTAACAGTTTAGGTAGTGGATATTTTAGCAACAGATGGAGGGATTACTACAGGATGAGAACTGGATTTTGAACAGTTTAGGGAATAGATTTTTAACTAGATATAAACAGGATGAAACGTGGGTTTAAACAATTAAGGAGTGGATTTTCAGCAGCAAAAGTAGTGGATTTCAATAGGATGAAAAGTGAATTTTACAGATTAAGGAGTGGATTTTTAGCATTTAGGGGAGTGGATTTCAACAGTTTAGGAAGTAGATTTGAGCAGCAAGGGGAGTGGATTTAAAGTTTAAATAGTATAAGAAGTGGATCTATAAAACACAAGCAAAATTTTATTGAAAAAGTAAATGATTTATTCTTTGTCGAATCTTTTTAAGCACTTTTTACTTATTACTTCAAATTTTAGAATTGTAAAAATTGGTTGTGCTATTTAAAACAAAATGGTGTATTAGATGTAATTTCAAATAGGTGCGTAATTCGCGTAATCCGCTTCTTATGTTTGGATTATTAAATGTTTACAGTTGCGGGTTTTAACTAAACAACATAATTGATCTTTTAAATAACTTATGTTTAGGGATTCAAGAATTTATCCTCAAGAAGTTTTTGCTCTAAACTCAAATTTTCGAATTCTAATATATTTGCAACCCGATGTCGTAGAACTATGATTTCTCTTGGATTAAAAAATTATAAATTGAAATATCAAAGGTTTACACCATTAGGTTGCAAATATTATAAGGATAAGAAAATTTGAGTTTGTGGCAAAAACTCTATTCCTTTAAAAGAGATTGGATATCGAGATTGAGCTTTCAAAAAAACAAGTCAAAAATATTGTTATTTTAGTTGACATATTGCTACATTGATCGAATACGATATCTGCCTGTTTCTTTTATGTTATTCAGATTACGGATCCAGTGCACTATAGTTTCAGTAGAACATTATGGTTTCAGAAGAACACTATACTTTCAGTAGAACACTATAGTTTCAGTAGAACACTATAGTTTCAGAAGAACACTATAGTTTCAGTAGAACACTATAGTTTCAGCAGAACACTATAGTTTCAGTAGAACACTATAGTTTTAGCAGAACACTATAGTTTCAGTAGAACACTATAGTTTCAGTAGAACACAATAGTTTCAGTAGAATTGAGCTGTGAGACAAAATTTTGCGGATCTAGTTCTGAATAAAAACTGCACGGAATTTTAAAGAGAAACTTTCAATTTTTAGAGAGAAAACGAGAATGTTTTCAAGATCAGACAAAAGATAAGGGAAGCGTTAAATGGAAGTCACGTTAAATTACGTGGACACTGTTCTTTTAATTCATAAATATATTAGATTGAAAGCTTCTTTCTTTTTATATTTTTATGTTGAAATTCTTACATTTGCTGTTCTCTTTCTGATCTGTACTATAGGTATAAAAAGTTGCCAACTCGTACCAGAAATTCCTTGAAATAAACATTATTAGTGCTGTAAAAAAATAAGCGTTTTGCTGAATCATGAAGAAGCTTATATTGATAATCTTTAATCCTGATGACAAGATATTGAAGAAACATAATTAAACCCAGCTGGTCAATTTTATCACGAAAAACATAATTTTAAAAGCAAAAAAATCTGTTTATTTTAGTTTTGGTTTGAAAAAAAATCTTACTCTGCCTTATGGCTTGATTTTTTTATTAATACCTAACTTTTAACCATCTGATTTTTAAAAAAAGACTTTTCAATTTCAGAAAATTTAATATGGAACTTATATTGTTCTGGGACAAATCAAATCAATACAATTTTTGGTATAGTCAGTCTAAAAAGCCGAAAATTACCGCCAATAACCGTTAAATATATATACGAAGCGTTAACTGTCTTTATGAAGAATTTTTTCAGATAAAATGGGAGATTTGGACGAAGGTATCCTTGAAAAAGGTATTTCAATTTAATTTAGTCCAAAGTTTAAGACAAATTATTGACATACTACGTTTCTCTATAAAACGTCAATTCACTCAAATTGTGAAGTTAAATAAAGCTAAGAAAGTTCCGTGGTCACCAAGCTAAAATTAAAGACAAATCGGTTAAGGGGTTTATGACATACATAAAAACAAAGTTTACTTCATTTTATATATTCGAGATTATATTATTTCACAAAGGCCAAAAAACTGCAAATTAGTTCTAATCATGTGTTATAAATTTTTAATTTTTCAACTGATTTATTTGTAAATTATTTCTAGAAAATGATTTATTTTATATTATTTCTAGAAAATTATGTATTTTATATTATTTCTAGAAAATGACGGAAAGAAGAAAAAGAATTTGAATAAAAATTCCAAAGAGAGTGCTCCAAAAAATAAAGAGTCCAGTGGAACAAAGGTAGTCATATACAATCCCATCCCTTCCCATCCTTTCCCATCCCTTCCCATTCCTTCCCATCCCTTCCCATCCCTTCCCATCCCTTCCCATTCCCATCTCTTCCCATCCCTTCCCATCCCTTCCTATCCCTTCCCATACCTTCCCATACCATCCCATCCCTTCCCATCCCTTCCCATCCCTTCCCATCCCTTCCCATTCCTACAATAAAATGTTTCACTTTCTGTATTATTTCTAGAAGGCGGGAGAATTAGAGGCAAAAATGGAGAAGAAAAACAATGGGTCTGCTTCCTCAAAAGGTAATTTTTTCTTCAGAAGATTTCCTTCTTTCCTACTTACTCTCTACTTACTCCCTACTTACTCTCTACTTACTCTCTACTTACTCTGTTCTTACTCCCTACTTACTCCCTACTTACTCCCTACTTACTCCCTTCTTACTCCTTACTTACTCTCTACTTAATCCCTACATACTCTACTAACTCTTTACTTACTCCCTACTTACTCCCTACTTAATCTCTACTTACTCTCTACTTACCCTCTACTTACTCCCTAATTACTCCCTACTTACTCTCTACTTACTCTGTTCTTACTCCCTACTTACTCCCTACTTACACCCTACTTACTCTCTACTTACCCTCTACTTACTCCCTACTTACTCCCTGCTTACTCCCTACTTACTCCTTACTTACTCTCTACTTACTCCCTACTTACTCCCTACTTACTCTCTACATACTCCCTACTTACTCCCTACTTATTTTCTATTTACTCCCTACTTACTCTCTACTTACTCCCACTTACTTCTTACTTACTTTCTACTTAAACCTTATTTCCTCTCTACTTATTCCCTACTTACTCTCTACTTACTCTGTACTTACTCCCTACTTACTCCCTACTTACTCCCTCTACGTACTCCCTACTTACTCCCTACTTACTCCCTACTTACTCCCTACTTACTCCCTACTTACTCCCTACTTACTCCCTACTTACTCTCTACTTACTCCCTTCTTATCTACCTATTTATTTTTAGGGCGAAGTAAATGGGTTTTAATCAAACATTCTCTAGACTTTATTCACAAGAGCAAAGAAACAGTTAAGGTAAAACATAATTTTAAATGTTTTTCAAAACCTGTTTTTTCAATTTTTTTAAAATCAATCGGTCAATGGAAGAAAATAAAATTTAGTCATTGTCAATTTCAAGCAAGAAGTTTTTTTCTTCAAGTTCTCTACTTTGAAAACATGATTTTAGAAAATTCGATTTTTTATACTATTGTTACCATTTAAAAGTTGTGTAAAACAGTGGTTTAGGAAAAAATATTTAAAGAACAAATAATGGTTGATACAAATGAATGAAAGAAAGCCTGAGAGCTCTCTGGCAGACTCTCCGCCTTTCTTCCGCCACATGTGACGTATTAATCTTCCTCCTTTTGATTCTTCTCGACAACTACTGTGTATTGGTTTTAGCCCAGGCCCCTCCTATTTCCTCCTCCAACGTGCTTCAAGCATATTGACTTGAATTTAAAATATAATTCCGGGTCAACTGTGGCTTTGGTTTACCACGCATTCAAGCATGCATTAAAGCATGCATTAAAGCATTTTTTCTGGGCTGGCATCTTTTAGGAACAAATATTTCTACACGTTGTACACGAGGCGACTTATTATCCACCCCACTGCTATTGTTGACTACAGTTTGTTTACAAATAAACCTCTCTCCATGTTTACTCTATATACCAGATTTTAAAAGTTTATAAATTCTGAAATATTTTGTCTAATATTTCAGAATCTAAAAAATTTGAAGAAATGATTTATAAATAATTTTTCTAAGATATGATAGATACCAATTAGTGCAAAATTATCAAAGATTTAATATTTGGAAAATATATTTTTAACTTTCATAAATGCCACATAATTAAATACCATAGATAAAGATAGATTGCGCATAAGCCGACATTTTTCATCTGGAAAGATATAAATGTACAGAGATGTTTTAAAGATATTCCTATTATATAGATTAACTAGGTCGGTTGTGTACATTGGCTGTTCTTATGTTATTGAGTACTTGTGGTGTACATGAGTTCTGTAAAAGAAATTTAAGTTTATAGTTTAGTCCTTCTCATGTCCTTCTTCAGTTCTCGTCAATATGATATATTGCTCAGTGAAATAATTTGATATTCTTAAAATAAAATTCACTCCTGAGTGGTTTATAATTATGAAATCCATTAAAACACCAAACCACCCCGCTTATCATTGAAGTACACTTTGACCCCTAGAAGTATGAGTTCGTGGACTGTACAATTCTTGGTGATTTTGCGTACATAAGCTATCTATGTTTATTTATTTATCTATGATAATAACATAAATGCATTATTAAAAGCTAATCGGTCCGAATGACAATTTTTTAACCATATGATGTACTTTACAGCGTTAAAAAAAGATATTAAATGCTAATTTTTATTTGCACAGTCGGCCTTGTATAATAGACTTCACGAGTTTTGTTTTAATTTGCTATTTTGCATAAATTACATTCAAACAAAAACGTTTGACTGCAAACATATTAATTTTTAAAAAATATTCTTGTCACCAGAGGATTCAGTTGGTTTAGCCGTTTACTGGTGTGTATTTGTAAAGAAAACAGATTACTGCAGCTAAAACTATAATTTTTTGGGTGCACATCAGACCAATCGCTGCATGATCCAAACCAGTACAAAAAAACGGTACAGTGTTTACTCGTACCATGCCGTCTTGTGTACAAATGGTATGTGGTTAACTGTAACCTCGTTGTGTTAACCCAGCACAGTTTATTCAACTAAAGTAGGCTGGTTTGTTGCTCTCAATGGCATAATTATTACCTGATCGTAATTAAATTAATTAGTTCAATCCCCAAGAGAGCAGGGTTGACCAAATCCGATAATTTTTTAACCATGAAGTCCTTATAACCTAGAGACAATTATTTCATTATGATCTGGTAATAATGAAATCTGTGAGAGAATTGTTAAGGGTTTTTTTGTATTCTTTAAGATATTTATTCAACCATGCTTAAACTTTCGAGAAATTTATTTTTGGACTATTTTTAGATTCTTTATTTGGAATAATTTTTAATCTGATATTTTTAGGAGAAGAGTGGATGCACTGAACCAGTGACGTATCCTTTTCTTGGTCAAACTTATCTTAATTCTATACCTCCGGTCATAGATCAGAGATTACAGGTAGAGTTTAGTTCTCCCTTCATAGATCTGAGATTACAGGTAGAGTTTAGTTCTCCCTTCATAGATCTGAGATTACAGGTAGTTCTCCGGTCATAGATCTGAGATTACAGGTAGTTCTCCGGTCATAGATCAGAGATTACAGGTAGAGTTTGTTCTCCGGTCATAGATCAGAGATTACAGGTAGAGTTTAGTTCTCCGGTCAAAGATCAAAGATTACAGGCAGAGTTTAGTTCTCCGGTCATAGAACAGAGATTACAGGTAGAGTTTAGTTCTCCGGTCATAGATCAGAGATTGCAGGTAGAGATTAGTTCTCCGGTCATAGATCAGAGATCACAGGTAGAGTTTAGTTCTCCGGTCATAGATCAGAGATTGCAGGTAGAGTTTAGTTCTCCGGTCATAGATCAGAGATTGCAGGTAGAGTTTAGTTCTCAGGTCATAGATCAGAGATTATAGGTAGAGTTTAGTTCTCCGGTCATAGATCAAAGATTACAGGCAGAGTTTAGTTCTCCGGTCATAGATCAGAGATTACAGGCAATAGATCAAAGATTAAAGATAGAGTTTAATTCTCTGGTAATAGATAAAAGATTACAGATAGAGTTTAATTCTCTGGTTATAGATCAAAGATTAGATCAAAGATTACAAAGATCAAAGGTACAGTTCTCCTTTTTTTAGACTAGTGAATGTTCTCTGCTTATTCTTGAATAAAAAAGAAATTATTTTGTCAAATACATACAATTAATACATCATTAGAAGAGACACCCCCGTGAATATACATATATGTATACTTAAACTATAAAATGTATGTAAAGGATGAGGTGTGTGAGCTACAGGGAGAAACTTTGGATTTGTACATGAGAGGGCTCCAAGCTAGGCAGGATTTTCATACATAACACTATTTGAACATTTTCACCCTTTTCAATGAAGGCATTGCCAAAAACAGAAGTTAATCGATGAAAATAAATCAATTAAATCTGAGAATAAATGAAAAAATTCTGAAAATAAATAATAAATATGAAAATAAATGAATAAATTATAGAGGACGTGAGTCAGACTCTAATAAAACGCATAAATAACTTCCAGTATATATATTTCTTATAACTTATTACTAGAGGGTTCAGAACTAGAGTCAATATCGATATCGCACGTGTAGACTGTAGAGATGATATCAGTACTAATGCCCCGTATCCGTTCTATCTCATTCTGTTGAATCTTGTGGAACTAGTTTAACGCGGCCAGGCATCGTCTTCCACAAAATTATATAAATAAATAATAAATCTGACATACTAAATGAATTTTCTTAAATTAAAAAAAAAACGAAATCTGAGAATAAATGAGAATAAATGAATTTAATCTGAGAATAAATGAATGAAATCTGAGAATAAATGAATTAATCTGAAAATAAATGAATGATATCTGAGAATAAATTAATGAAATCTGAGAATAAACGAATAAAATCTGAATTATAGAATGGCGCTAAAACACTACACTGAGACCTGTATGTAGAGAAGAAAGAGCAACATGAAGAAACAGTAACAAAACAAGAAAGTGTGAAGAAAAAAAGGGGGCGAACATTAATCAAAAAATACTGTTTTTTCTTTTTGTATTCTCAAAAGCGGTCTTTAAATCGGGTACAATTTGAAAACATCATTTATTAGTGATATAAATAAAGATATATCACGAATTCATAAACGTGCATGTGAAAAAAGCTGGATTTCTTAAAGTTTATTAACCTCAAATTTTATATATAAAATGGATAGTATCTTCGTTTTCAGATTGGTTGCGTATTTGCTGAAAATGATCTGTACTATTTCTAAAAATTGTGTATATATGAATTTTCGTTTAAATTTGACACAGTTCTATATCAATTTCTCGAGACAGCACCATCAAATATAACTTTCATGGAGCACTATCAAGAGTTAAAGTGATTAGCTTTCAGTCTGTATTCCCTTACAGTTTTCCTTTACAGTCCCTTTAAAAGAAATTTCGCCAAAAGGATTAAGTAATTTACAATAGCTGCAACAAGTATATCCAAAAGTGTTTATTTCTGTAAATATCTCCATAATTTCTTACAAGCAAGAAATTAAAATAAAATTTTTATAGAAACAGAAACATTGATATTATATTCATACTTGATCAGACAAAGCTTTTAAGGGTACCGTTGTAAATCAGGCATTGCCATCTTCTTTGCATGGAGGGTTATTTGAATCAGTCCCTTTAACAACCATTTATTGACCAATTAAGTGATGAGGCTAGAAATAATAAAACTAAGTTTAAAACTTATAATTTGATGATAAAAATAGCAATGTTCATATATATACAATATATACATATATACATAAATGATAAGTATAAAACGATAACTTAAAATTAATCTGTAGATAGTAATACTGAAATATTAATAGTGTAACTTTTTTTAAGAAATATAGGTATTTTAAAAGTGCAACCTAAATTCTTTCCTTGTGTACATTTTTTTAGGATGAATCAAACGGTTGGTGGTTTGAAATTGGTCCTCAACTCCCGTGTTCCAGAAAATGGTTACTGAAAAAAATTTTATAACAATTTTCTCACATGAAGTTAAAAATAAACTGTCCACGAAAACTTGTGTACAGCCACCTGGATATAATCTTTCAAATTTGACCGTAAAACTTGTGTACAGCCACCTGGATATAATCTTTCAAATTTGACCGTCTATAAATCTTCCCTTAACTAGGTTATGTGAGTTGCCATACAACAATTGGGCCCAATCGGTTCAGCCGTCTTTACGTTTATTGAATACACACACCCTGACGAACCATCATATATATAGATAGAAGGACTGAAAAGTATACTACTATATACTTCTGCGACGACATTCTTATATTTATTTCCTTAAAATCTTGTAACTTATTCTTCAAAATAACATACTTATTACTTATTCTTTTTTTGCAGTTGGCTCATATTTCTAGCTTTGTAAAACTACAAATTCTAGAATTCTAACCGCAAATTTGATTTTTTTTTTGTTTAATTCTCCCTCTTTTGATATCCCTGCTGGGTTCCGAACAATGAAAGTACTCTCATTGATTGAACTCAAAATTTCCCGGCTTCTGATTGGTTTTTAGGTTTCTGCAAGTGACACTGTGATTGGTGAATTTTAATCACTTTTCTTGATATTAAATAGGAATTAAATTAATCTACAGAGGAGATTAAGCTTTGATCTTGATATTCACAATTCAAGAGTTTCCAGCTCAGCTTTAATGTCATTGTTCAAACCTGTTGTATCACTCATGCTTTGACTGTCCCATAATAAAAACAAAAATCTCCCAGAATTTTATTTCTGTGACGTCATCGATTAGTTTGTTTACAATTAGTATTATATAATGCATGTTTAAGCATAAACACTATCTTCATTTTGTTTACAAGATTTTCACCTTTATGTGTCAACACCTCTGCTAGCCAAACACACAGCCCCCGACCCCCCTGATATAGAGCAGAGCTTCGAAATATGCATGTATACATTAACCTCAGAGGATCATACACCTATAGTTAGCGTTTTATGATAACGTAACGTTATTTTTCTAATATTTGCTACATTTTTTACCATAACCTAAAGAAACGTTTTGTTTCAATGGGGAGCTTGAAAGTCTAACGTTTGAAAGTCAATTGTGATTTGATTGCATATCGTAGCAAAAGGATTTCTATTTCAAAGTTCACGTTTTAAAAAGTGTAACGTTAAAGAACTAAAATATGCTTTTCTGTTTAAGAAAATGTTTTGAAACGATTTCCCTAAAATTATAATGAAAAATTCAACGTTTTGAAAATGGTATATTTATTAATTAATCAGGAGAGAAAAATTTCAATAGTGCAATGAATAAAAAATTTAATTTGCCAGTTGTAAAATAGTGTAACAAAAAAGGTTATTACAGTAATGTTTCGATAAATCGTAAGGTATCGAAAGAAAGTTGCATTTTCGTAACATTTTTTAGAATAATTGAAAGATTTTATATTGGAAAAGTTAAGAAAATATTCTTTGCACTGAAATTCATTGTAACATGCAAAACTATGTCTGAATGACATTTTATCAACTAAGTGAAATTGTAACGTTAGGTCTCTGAAAACATTCACAATGAAAGTGGTACGTTTGAAAACTGTGGTTATACTACTAAAGCTTTAACGCAACCTTGGGAAAGTTTTTTAAAAAAGGGAATGCAAAAGCGTAACGGAGCTTACTTCCCCCCCCCCCCACATTTATTAAAGCTTAACGTTGTACAAGGTATTCAAGTGGCAGAAAATTCATTACGTAACATTGGTTTAGGCCATAAACTTTCATAATGTTCAACGTTTCAAACGTTTATACTTTTGATGAACACAATCGTGACGAAAGCTGAGATTAGAACAAATCAAAACGTTGACATCTCTACTATATATGCACTATGTATGCAATACATCTAGTTAAAACTGGAACATTTTCCCACCAGGATAAAAAAGGGAGTCGCTGGATTTTTTCTCAGATTAAACATTTACACATATGAGGTCGTCTTCCTACAATATAAGATTGAGGGGCGTAGACAAATTATAAACAGTATAACCGACACTAGTTATTCATGTTCAAACAGTATACCTGACACTAGTTATTCATGTTCAAACAGTATACCCGACACTAGTTTTTCATGTTCAAACAGTATACCCGACACTAGTTATTCATGTTCAAACAGTAAACCCGACATGAGTTATTCATGTTAAAACAGGTTACCCGAAACTAGTTATACTGTTCAAACAGTATACCCGACACTAGTTATTCATGTTCGAACAGTATACCTGACACTTGTTATACTGTTTAAACAGTATACCCGACACTAGTTATTAATGTTCAAACAGTATAACCGACACTAGTTATTCATGTTCAAACAGTAAACCCCGACACTAGTTATTCATGTTAAAATAGTATACCCGACACTAGTTATTAATGTTCAAACAGTATACCCGACACTAATTATTCATGTTCAAACAGTATACCCGACACTAGTTATTCATGTATAAACAGTATACCTGACACTAGTTATTCATGTTCAAACAGTATACCAGACACTAGTTATTCATGTTCAAACAGTATAACCGACACTAGTTATACTGTTTAAACAGTATACCTGACAGTAGTTATTCATGTTCAAACAGCATGTATACCCGACACTAGTTATTCATGTTCAAACAGTATACCTGACACTAGTTATTCATGTTCAAACAGTATACCCGACACTGTATATTCTGTTTAAACAGGATACCTGACACTTGTTATACTGTTCAAACAGAATAGTTAGTTATAAACATATATCACGGTTAATTGATTCAAATTAGAGAAACTAATAAGTCACAAAAGCCAAAAAAAATAGATTAAATTTAAATTTTGAAATAAATCAATTCATGTTATTGTGGGTAGAATGAAAACTCCAGTTCTTAATGAACTGTGAAATGAATTTATTGATAATTAACGAAATATTTTTGCATCGATAACTAAAGAGAATAGATTATACCTAGAGTGGAATTTAAACAATCCCTTAGTATGAATTTTGTCAGTCCCTTTCAGCCTGTAAGGGAGTTCAAAGCGTACAATTCATGTAAATCTTCACAAATTATACGCAGTTCTTCAAACAAATACAGTATGATCTCTGGTCATATCTATTCCAATTTCTTTGTTTTATAAAGTTGTCAAATAACTTTAAACGTTTTTTTCGCTTTAGGTGAATTGAAATCATTATTTTATTAAACATTAAAATATAAAAATTGTCGTATGTACAGTGAATACCTACAGAATTGTTAATCTTTTTTGCTTCAGACTCTTTTGTATCCTGCAATTAATATCTTGTTTAATTTTCAAATTAAATTTCAAACAGTGAGGCTTTTGGGCGCTTCGCGCCCATCTTCTATTTTAATTGTGAACATTTTCTCTTTGTATGTCATTGTAAAACAAAAAAAACAAAAAGTAATAAGGGTTTCAATTTTGACAATATTTTTTCAAAATTTGGATGATTTTCGTAAATCAATGCAGAACACATACTAGCTGTCCCAAAATTTAGATGAAAACTCTAGCAAGGGGATTCTAGGATTAAGCCAAGAGGAGGATGAGGGGGGAATAACATTTTTTCACTCCTCCCCCACCCTTCTTGTCAGGGATTTAGAAAATTATGATATCTTCCTCATTGTTACTCAGATTTCGAGCTAGGTTGAAGAACCAGTAAAGAAAAAACTTTCAGATTTGAAAATATCAAAACATTTTTTTTTTTTCAAATCCAATCACATAGCAAAAAATGCAAAACTTCCCTGCAAGATTTGTGCAATATGCTTCCTTTTGTTAAAGGCAATTTAGATAAATATTTTGTCGGCAGTTTTGCAATATTTTTTCTTTCCCTTTGAGCTATTACAAATAGCCATAAATTATTCTTACTTCAAGAAAAATGGCATCAAAAAGAAAAATACCGTTTAAAGCTCAAAAATAGCCATTTCAGGCTTAAAGCTTGACGCTCAAACTGAACCCTCAGCCATACTTTTTTTTTGTCGAGAAACTGTAATGTGTAGTGAGTCATTAATTTCGATCTTTTCTAAGGTTTTCTTGTCCAAAACAAATTCCAAGCTACTTGCGTGCAAAAACAAAAGAACTATATTACTTAACTAAACAATTTTTTATTTTAAGTGTTCCAGAGTGAGAATGTTTTTAATCCATTCTTAAAATAGAATTTAAAACATCAACAAATTTCATGTTTTTGTCACTTTTCATTCATTTATGAACTATTGAAGATCAAGAAACTATTTTTATGGCGTACTCGTCCCTTTT